CATGGGAGGGAGTGAGCCTATACCCATCCCCTACTCAGCTCTAGCAGCCTATACTCATTCCCTACTCAGCTCCAGCAGACTATACTCATTCCCTACTCAGCTCCAGCAGACTATACACATTCCCTACTCAGCTCTAGCAGCCTATACTCATTCCCTACTCAGCTCCAGCAGAATATACTCATTCCCTACTCAGCTCCAGCAGCCTATACTCATCCCCTTCTCAGCTCCAGCAGACTATACACATTCCCTACTCAGCTCTAGCAGCCTATACTCATTCCACACTCAGCTCCAGCAGCCTATACCCATTCCCTAGTCAGCTCCAGCAGCCTATACTTATTCCCTACTCAGCTCCAGCAGCCTATACTCATTCCCTACTCAGCTCCAGCAGCCTATACTCATTCCCTACTCAGCTCTAGCAGCCTATACTCATCCCCTTCTCAGCTCCAGCAGCCTATACCCATTCCCTACTCAGCTCCAGCAGCCTATACTCATTCCCTACTCAGCTCCAGCAGACTATACTCATCCCCTTCTCAGCTCCAGCAGACTATACTCATTCCCTACTCAGCTCCAGTAGCCTATACTCATTCCCTACTCAGTTCCAGCAGCCTATACTCATTCCCATAACTCAGCTCTAGCAGCCTATACTCATTCCCTACTCAGCTCCAGCAGACTATACTCATTCCCTACTCAGCTCCAGCAGACTATACTCATCCTATTCTCAGCTCCAGCAACCAATACTCATCCTAATCTCATCACGATCTAGCCTTAAATTCTGTGACTTGCTGGTTCCTTAAGACTGGATCCTTTATAGAATAACATGTATTTCACTCGTACATAACTTTACATCGGGGACCATCTGTCAGTCTAGGTACAAAGCATGTTATTAACCTTCCAACCCCACTCCACCCAAATCATACACGTTAATCTTGTATTAACTCTTTAATCCAGTTAACAAATAATTATCCTCTGTATCCCTTAAGAAGTCCAAATACTCAACATGGTGTTGCCTGAATATTGCTATAATTGATTCAAATGGGATTCCCTGACTCCAGGACTCCTGACTCTGTCCATGAAACATTCACAACTCTTCATCTCACATCCCCCAGGGCCCAAATACCTCATGGTCGATTGAGGTTCATCGAATTACAAACTGCAGTGACAAATGCTTTCACAATTATTAACTTTGCTGGCTATTTGTTGATGAAAAAACATGCAACTGATTGTAGTAAGAGTTGAAATAATGGCAAAATAAAACAGATACTGGAATTTGGGGGGTGGAGAGTGTCTCAGTGAGAGAGACAGAGGGATGGAGGGAGAGAATTGGAGGGTCAGAGAGAGGGCAGAGGTAGGAAGGACAAGGGGGAGAGAGAGAGAGAGAGAGAGAGAGAGGGAGGGAGAGAGAGGAGACCAAGACATATTAAACAGATATAGAGCAGAAAGTGACAGAGACAGAGAGAAATCAAGAAATCGGGTTAGGGATGGAGAGAAAAATAAAGAAATCGGGTTAGGGATGGAGAAAGAAATAAAGAAATCAGGTTAGGGATGGAGAGAGAAATAAAGAAATCAGGTTAGGGATGGAGAGGGAAATAAAGAAATCGGGTTAGGGATGGAGAGGGAAATAAAGAAATCGGGTTAGGGATGGAGAGAGAAATAAAGAAATCGGGTTAGGGATGGAGAGAGAAATAAAGAAATCGGGTTAGGGATGGAGAGGGAAACAAAGAAATCGGGTTAGGGATGGAGAGGGAAATAAAGAAATCGGGTTAGGGATGGAGATAGAAATAAAGAAATCGGGTTAGGGATGGAGAGGGAAACAAAGAAATCGGGTTAGGGCTGGAGAGGGAAATAAAGAAATCGGGTTAGGGATGGAGAGAGAAATAAAGAAATCGGGTTAGGGATGGAGAGGGAAACAAAGAAATCGGGTTAGGGATGGAGAGGGAAATAAAGAAATCGGGTTAGGGATGGAGAGAGAAATAAAGAAATCAGGTTAGGGATGGAGAGGGAAACGAAGAAATCGGGTTAGGGATGGAGAGGGAAATAAAGAAATCGGGTTAGGGATGGAGAGAGAAATAAAGAAATCGGGTTAGGGATGGAGAGAGAAATAAAGAAATCGGGTTAGGGATGGAGAGAGAAATAAAGAAATCGCGTTAGGGATGGAGAGAGAAATAAAGAAATCAGGTTAGGGATGGAGAGAGAAATAAAGAAATCGGGTTAGGGATGGAGAGAGAAATAAAGAAATCGGGTTAGGGATGGAGATAGAAATAAAGAAATCGGGTTAGGGATGGAGAGGGAAACAAAGAAATCGGGTTAGGGATGGAGAGAGAAATAAAGAAATCGGGTTAGGGATGGAGAGAAATAAAGAAATCGGGTTAGGGATGGAGAGAGAAATAAAGAAATCGGGTTAGGTATGGAGAGAGAAATAAAGAAATCAGGTTAGGGATGGAGAGAGAAATAAAGAAATCGGGTTAGGGATGGAGAGAGGAAAGGACTGAAACATTATACTAAGGGACTGGAAATTATAGAGGGTACGATTCAGTAATTGATGCCCACTGACATATTGACATTCATATTATTGAGCCATTATGTTCCACACACGGGATGCAAGGACATTGTGAACAGGATCATCAAAATCAGTTCATGACACCCTCTGTGAATGGTTAATAAAATATCAGCTATTTATTGAATACTAACTGAGGGAGGTGTCATTATACACTATGAATAAATTATTACTCAGTAGAGAAGAGACAGTGAAGGATGGACATACCCACACGGACAGACAGGTGGAAAGAGAGCTATCAGTATTTACTGTAATGTTACAAACTGCTCTTGGTCGTCCTGTGAATCATGGTGGTATATTTATTACGCTAACAATTCATTTTACATTTTGCGAAGCATCAGCAATATCACATTCTAAAAGCATTTCACTCAAAATAAAACTGATCCACAACACTCTAGTTTTACTATCACACTTTTCTAATTCTATGGTATTCTTCAACATTCTATGGATGTTTTGCTGGACAATTAGTTTTGGTTAAAATCAAAATTGAATTAAATATGAAAGGCTCAATGACATTGTGGGGGTGTGTTGGTTTGTGGAAAGTCTGGACCAGACAATCCAGTGATTGACATCATGAGCATCAATCTACGCAATTGGGATATGACGACATGCATCAACCAAATCAGCAAGCCTGACCACCTGATCCAATTAGTTGCCTCTTATGACAAGCATAGTCGCTTTTACGGCAAGCATGGGTTGCTGTGGGCCTATTCTACCCCGGATCTTCACGGGTCGGGATACGATGACATGCATCAACAAAGTCAGCGAGCCTGACCACTCGATCCCACTAGTTGCCTCTTACGACAAGCATAGTCGTCTTGTATTATTGTTATGAAGAATGAAGAAGCTTACACTAGACAAATCTACAGGTAACCTGAACAAAACCTGCCCAAGAGGCAGAGCAAGGAGTTTGAACAAAGGGGATGTTCTGTCAGACTTAGCCACAAAGTGAGTTGGGAACAAAATGTCCGATTGGGAATAGCCTGACTGTAGCCCTGGTAAAATGTATTTAGATACATGTATAAAACAATCTGGTCATGCATACATTGAAGTTGACTGAAGTTTTATCTTTATTCAAACCAAAGGACAGAAGGAATGGGTGCATCGTCAGAAAGAAATGTGAATATTAGTGACTTGTAGTGTAACCATAGAGTTCTAGATCATTTTTGTCATTAAACAATATATCATGTGACTAACAACGGGTCTGGGTAGTCCTGTGGGTACCCGGGTCCTTCTCAGTACCCACCAGATCTGTGTACCCAAGTTACCCGTCCTAGCCCTGATACAAACATCCTCTGCATTCCAAACTGGGTTCAAATGTAATTTCCAACCATAATGCATTAGGGGCTGGTCAGGTGGCCCTTTTTGAAACCATACAATGTGTTATAGATAATGGAAAGTTCTGGGAAAATTTGATAGTATCACTAAAATAAATCAAAACCAAAAAATCATGTCCCTATAGCCTTTTGATGTTATAAAAAAAAAAAAAAAATTTTGGTGATGTATAACTGTCTATCAGTAGGCCCTAATACTTCAAAAAAAAATATAATAGTATGTTATCTGTAGAGAGAGCAGACCCTGGGCAGTAATCTCCATACAGACAACAAAACTCTGGGTAAAAAAATAGGACGAAGAGTCACAAAAAGAGAGAGAGAGAAAAAGTCACACATATGTTAAGCTGGCCAAAATGTGTGAGAAAAATTTCGCAATTAAAAAAACCCTTTTCTGATCCTTAGGATACTGCTGCATACTACAAACTAGTGTTTTGACCTATTTCACGGGATTCATCTGGGTATTTCCAATACAACCCTAATTGTCAAAAGCAATCAACAACAGCTGTCAGCTGTCCTATAATGATATAGGATGACATAGGTCTTTGACAACAAGGGTGCATGTGTCCCCTGCAGCCCTGCATTCCAACCATTGAACTATTTCATGAGCCCTCGGTGTTTGCTTTCTCGAATAAGGATTCAGACATCAGGCGACTTTCTGAATTGTATCTAATTCATCTGTCACCAGCACCCAGCTGCTGCTTACATTATATAAAGCCACTGCTTTTATTTTTTGTCTGCAGTAAGCAGGAAATACCATGGCAACACTGAGTATGACTGAGTTCATATGTAACAAAATATGGAAGAAGAGAAAGTAGAAACATCTCCAACATCTGTTGTCAACAATAATATTGACCCACCACAATTTGATATCGATGAAAGAATTCAACAAAGTTACTAACAGGTAATCAATTCAAATTCCACAGCAAAACAATGTCATGATTTAGTCCATATCTTAACAAAATATGGAGGGAGACAAAGTAGAAACACCTCCACACTACACAGCTGTTGTCAACAATAATATTTACCCACATAATTTGATATCGATCAAAGGATTCAATAAAGTTGCTGTAAACAAATGCAAATAATTCAAAAGAAAGCAGGTGACAACTTACGGAGGAGGAGGTGGAATAGTATCAAAGCTGTCCGACAACCCCACAACACCACTCTTGCGGTGCCGGCGCAGGTTGGGGTGGAGGTTGGGGTAGTTTCGCTCTTTCATGGATTGTAATTCGGCTGAGAATTTTCCTCTGCCCCGGTAGAACCACACATACGACATGGGTTGAGGTGGGAAGCCAGAGCTTGTCCACCGATAGGCGAAACAGGTGATGTCAGCTGTCCCCAAAGAAATACGAGTTCATGTGGTCTACAGAAACTTCACGCATCTTTCCTGGTACGTATGCCTATATACTGTAGCTCTGTGACACGAGAGAGCTGGCAGCTCTCTTCACACCTGTCACCGCCCCAGTATTGATGAATCTTTCTGCATTGCACTACGTAGTGTTGATCACATTTGAGAAGACACCGGTCGAGACCTGTTACAAGCCATGCTACCCCTGACTGCTGAAGCTCAGCAGCATGGACAGATTCCCGTGGCACTCAAGCAAAACACTACAATATCATGAATGATTCACACTACCAGGTTCCTTTGTCCGAAGGAGCCCGGATCAATGGACACTCTCTCATCAACATGGGCAGTGTTGGGCAATCGTGAATAAAGGTCAGAGGTTGGATGGTGATTGGTAGCAAACGTGTTCTGGGTGTTCTGTGATCGGAACATTGGGCCTAATGCACCTGGGAGTATCATTACACCAGTCTATGCTAATCACAGCTGATTGTGGTCAATACAACACTGGTGTGACAGTCACATCTGCTTCGTGACAGTGTATAAGAGAAGATCAGGTCTCTTGTTTACGGAAACCATCTCGAATACACTGTTGTAATCAGTCTCTAACACTCTCTGTCGTCTTTAAACCGATCCATATTGGTGTGTGGTAAGTAAATAATACATTCAATAATGATTTTCCTACTAGGCAATGTCCTTGAAGCTGTAAAAGCTATTGACAAACATTGCAACTCCTGTTTAACTAGCACAGAAAGTGGCCAGTCAGTTCATCCGTCAATGACTAATGACAAGATTCACATCTCGCATGAAACAACCACTGATTAATCCTTTTAGAACACACTCAGCTTCAGACTGCAGGAGTCTTGGGTATGACGAACTAGGGGCCTTCATTCCTCTCACCTGTGGTGACTGTCATCACCATGCTCTCAACTCAATAACCTTCGCAGATGTTGGTGAGCCATGCCATCATCAGTAGTGCAGTCATCTGTGGGCAGAGCCAGAACCCGATCGTGCATGCCTCTCTCGATCACGCCTCTCTCGATCATGCCAGATATATCGCTATTCAATGGTACTGTATGTCTCTATGGTGCTCGGGGCAGTACACAATGCGAGCGGATTGGACATAGAAGCCAGGAAATCAGAGTGGGTAATGAGTTTTCATTCATTATCTCGGTGAAGGGAAAGGAAATTCATTACCGAATTAAAATGTTTTGGACTCCAGAGGGAAATATATTTCAATGTCCATGTGAATCTAATTGCAAAAACGGTTCAACATTTACACAGTGATTATTACACATTAGCTCGCTGTGTTTTTGTCGAGGTGATGTGGGTGTTATTTGTCAGGAAAAGTCCAAGGCCACACTTTTTATATTTTATGCTTTACAGATTCCTCACTTGCAAATTAGCATGGGTCAGTCGATAACAAAACCAAAGTTGGTGCAGCTAAATAATTTTAGTTTTTTGTAACTGCAGATACTGTTCACAGTGCAGGATGTATATTATTTTTATTATTTTGTTTGGTATAAATGTTGGGGCTGGTCGATGTATTTGAAAAGTAAATACTAACAGTTTCTTTATTTCACGATGTGTTCTTATAGGAGATGGCAGACACTGCATACAATACCTCTGATCAATTATTACATACCATACCTTAGTATAATTTTGTATGACCTTCGTAGTTGTATGAGAATCTTCTTGTTTTTCTAATCTATCAATGATGGAGGGGTTGGGACAATAAAGAACAATTAAAAATATTTTTGAAAGCACTGTACTCAGTATCTGCCATTGCAGTTATCTCATAATTTTTTTATTTTATTTTAAAAAAATCTAATTCAGTACATGATATTACAGATTTATACATGGAGTAGCACGTCATGTGGTATACTTATTAGGTGTAGGTTACATATCTATACAGCAGACAACAAATTTAAGTTGGCTAAAGGTGTCCAATTATGTTTACAAATGGTGAAACGGGCAGGCTACAGTTAGTTATCTCATAAATTGAACAACACCTTTATCGAGGTAAATACATATATTTATTACTGAAACATTCTGCACCTTACACAGAATTAACATACTTTTTACCCAAGCCAATGGACCCAAACAACATTAAGCATAAGTTAATCAAGTGATTAGCTTCACCATTGTCTATTTCGCCCGACCCAAGTTATTTGGCCAGCATAAAACTCGGTACATCATAAAACTTAAAAACGGGGCCAGAGGCATAATGGCCAATCTGTTGCACATCGATCTTTTAACCCAAATATTACAATACATGATGGCAGAATAGTTGATATAACATTTTATAAAAGAGATAGTATCATATGTTGAATGTTATAACTTGGTTGACATGGTTGTTTTTCAGGATTGAGAAAAAAACAATAAAATAATAAAAACATATAATTGATCTCTTAAAAAACTAATGTTGTTTTTCATTAATGACTAGTCAAGATTGATATCCAGCACCATTTGTCGATTTACTTGAGTTGTTTTTCTCATAGCTGCAATTTGTTAACAGACTCAATTAAGTCTGTGTGAAGCAAAAAGACAGTTCTTTGAATTCTAAATTTATTTAGCCTTTGCAAAGCAAACAGCAAAAAAGTATTTCTATCAGTCTCACACAACATACAACATGCCAGACCCATAATGTGGAAATGCTGCAAAATACCACAACCATAATTAAACTATACTCCAATAAAGGTTTTTTTATGAAAATGAGTTTTGATTTAATGCAACAATGAACAATATCTTGGTTGCAGGTAATACACTTTAAAGAAAAATAGTCTTGTATCATATGCCACATTCAGCAATAATACCATTGTCTTCATGATGACTGTCTGTAAATCTATCAAATCTGGACCAGACAAACCAGTGATTGATCTTTGAGCAAGGCCCCACTATTGGGGTACAATGACATGCAATCAGTCAAGTTGCTAATCCATTTGGTCGCCTCGGGCTGGGCAATTATTCTAACCTTGAATCCCAAGAGGCTACTTTGTCTCTGTCCCTTCATGCTGAAAGAATGTCAATGCGACATATATTGCAAAGTCATTCAATTCTTAATATCCTATAACTGTAATTACAGCGCCATGTGTGGCATTGACATATTTTGTTTGTTTGTTTGTTGTTTAACTCAACACTCAGAAATAATTCTATTTATTTATGGCATGCATTAATCATGTCAGTGAGCCTGACCACCCGATCCTGTTAGTTGCCCTTACAACAAGCATAGTCGCCTTTTACAGCAAGAATGGCTGTGATGATATATGTAACTACTCAAAAGAAGTTTAAGAACACCTGATTCTTTCATATTACTAAGTTAATCTGTCATGTTATTTAACTTTTATTTGAGCAGTAAACACCATGACCTTTGAGTGAGTGAGTATGGTTTTACGCCGCTTTTAGCAATATTCCAGCAATATCACGGCGGGGGACACCAGAAATGGGCTTCACACATTGTACCCATGTCGGGAATCGAACCCGGGTCTTCGGCGTGACGAGCGAAAGCTTTAACCACTAGGCTACCCGACCGCCCCCATGACCTTTGAACAAACTAGCAATGTTGTGTTTGGGTGATGATGATGATGATCGGTGTAGCCGATTTCGCACTCGGTTTGGGGCACTGAATCAAATTAGGTCTGTCAATTACCCCTGACATGCTGCCATTACGATGACGTTACAAAACACACAAACTTCCATTTCCAGTAATTCAACCAAACAAAAACATTTTTATCACATATGTAATCGGAGTAAAAAACTTCGTTTTCACATTCGGAATCTATCAGATTTATTGCGATTGTGACTCTTTGTGATGTAAAAATTACCAGATAACTAACAACAAATAGGTTTGTTACTCAATATCTAACTCAATATTGACCAGCTCTGTGGATAGAGCATCTGATCCCTGCTGTGGGAATGAAACAAGAACTGACCTGCTCAAAGCCAGTATGCACACACGCACGCACGCACACACGCACGCACACATGCACTAGGCAAGTGCAATAAAAAGAAAATGATGTAAACGCTAAATTGCATACTGTAAATCTTGAAATTAATGCGAGCGTGAATTAAATGCGAAAAAAGCGAGTGGTCTTTGCTCACATTAATTAACTTTGCATTTATGTCTCCAAATGACCATCCAACAACAAGACGGCCTCACTGCACACTTTGGATAGCGGAAATACCAACTTGAATATAAACACAAACACAGTTTATTGAGCAGCAGTTGTATCAAGTACATAACAATGTCATTAAAAGAATAGGAATTACACAATAGGCATCCAGTGAGATATTGCTGCTGTGGTAAAAAGTTCTACCCACTCCTGTCAAGCTTGTTGACACCTTCTCCGCATACCAATCAGTGAACTGTTGTTGGTTCAATTATTTTATTGCCTTTGAACTTCCTTAATGCCAGTCAACAGAGTAACTGTGTGTTGGTTTTAGGGAAACACTGTTTATTGTTATTACGAAGTGCTTTACTCAGTGCTAATAAGCAGTGCTATTTGCTGTTTGATGGGGTTAAGGTAAGGATATGTATCATTCCACTGGGGACGGGGTGGGGTGAGTGAGTGAGTGAGTGAGTGTGTATGGTTTTATGCTGCTTTTAGCAATATTCCAGCAATATCACGGCTGGGCCACCAGAAATGGGCTTCACACATTGTACCCATGTGGAGAATCGAAACCTCGGTCTTCGGCTTGACGAGCAAACCATTGAACCACTAGGCTACCCGACCCCCCTGACGGGGTGGGGGAGTCACATTGAGATTGAGTCACATTTTTGGCTAGGGGTCAGCAGTCGTATTAATTTGGAGACGCATTAATTTCCAGATTTACAGTAGTTGGTTGGGTAAAAAAAATGACATATGTTGAAAAAATTAACATCAGTTTTACGCTTTTTAGATCAAAGAATCAATATGTGAACCACTAAGCATCAGTAACATTTATAACACACAACCTCTCTTGTTTTACAATTTACTTTACGCAGCTGGAAGATGGGCCTATGCACACAATACTATTTTTTTTAGTGAAATACATTACCAACACAGCATGGGCATAAACAACAACTTTTCTCATCATTTTGTCTTAATTCCACATT